GGGGGGGTCAGCCACAGCTCAGCACGAAGGGAGCCGGGCCTGGCCGTGGCCGGGCAGCCGTGATCAGCTGCGGCCTCCTGTAGGCCCTTCCCGTGTCCCGTCGCCCGTGCCCTCATTTGGGACAGCTGCCCATGTTGTTGTTGGAGGAGGCTGTTCCTATTTGTGCCTCCTTGGCCCAGACTGCCCGGCGGGGTCTGGGGAACTTGGGTGAGCTGTGTTGGGGGCCTGCCACAGCAGGTGAAGTGGAGAGAAGTTTCTGGCTCTGGGGCCCACTCGTGCAATCTGAGCAGCCTGTGTTTCTGTTTAGGAACGGAGGCTCATCCCCTCCATTTTTGACAGGGGGGAGGGGGAGGGGGGGCAGGGAAGGAGACAGAGACAGGGAGGGAGGGAAAAATTGGACCCTGTATGATGGGACTCTCATAAACACAAGGTGTGCGTGTTAACAAGGCTGTCACATGGCTGCTGGGAGTTTTCAAAGGTGACAAGGCTGGGCCGGAGGGAGAGAAGCAACCCTTTCCCGACAGGAGAGGGACAGGGACAGGGACAGGTGGTGGTTTGGGAGGGTTGGAGGAGGGGTGGATGAGTCTAGTCATTCTGTCTAGGTGGTTCTGGGGAGGGGCAGCCTGAGTACTCCCCCAGGGCCGGGGGGAGAGAAGGGACAGTGAGTTCAGCCTCCAGACTGACCCGCTGACCCCTGACTGCCATCCCCTTCCTGAGGTGCTACTCCTGGTTTTGAGACGGCGGGCAGGGGGGGTTGCACCCTCCTGTCCTGATCCTAGACCATCAGGTCCACCACGGCCAAGGGCTGCCGGACCCTCGGAGCTCTGCGAGCCTGTCTCCCACGCCTTCCCTTTGGGCCACGTAGAATTCCCGGCCCCTTGCCTGTCCAGCGGCACTGTGGCTCTCCGACCGGGGCCAGGCCCTCTCATGCCCTCTAGCAGCCCCTCACTGGTCCCCAGCCGCTTCCCCAGCCATTCTCTCACTTGTGTTAAGTGGGCCTTAACTTTATTACCCAGCGTTCGGAGGAGAAAAAAACAAAAGAAGACACAAATTAGCCATAATTGCATCACTTGGTGATAACTCCAAATAACATCTTGATGGGTATCTCCCAGATTCTTCTGCTGATACGCCTTCATGAATTAAAACGGGATGGCAGCCAGTCCTTGCCTTGCAGCCCTGTTTCCTAGATGTCTTTCCAAAGCCATCACGATGATGTTTTTAGTGGCCATTTAGCCTTCCGCCTTAGAGATGTCCCGTACTTTACCCAACAAAGCCCCTGTTGTTGGCTGGAGGTTGTTTCCTGTGTCTTTTGCCAACCAACACTTCTGGGAGCGACCCATCTTCGAAGCCTGGTTTTTGCATACGTCCTTCAGTATTTCTCTGGGAGAGAGCCCCACCAGGGGAATCACTGCATCTAGCAGGTGTCCAGCCTGCCTCATGCAGGGCCGAAGCCTTGGCCGTTGATGACCGTGATGTCAAGTTCAAGGGCCTGGTGCTCTCACTAAACCCTTGATCTGCTGAAAGGTCATGTTGTCCGGATGTCCCCAGCTTCATTCTGTGATATTCATGCCTAGAGTGTCCTCCTGAACCCTGTTCCCATCCACACCCTTCAAATCCAAGCCTGACTTCCCTCTGTACCTGCTGCCCCCCCCCCCCCCCCCCCCCCCCCCCCCCCCCCCCACCAGTCTTCCCACTTCCCCGTGTCTGGAGGGCCTGGCCCAGTCACTCAGAGCCCTAGGTCCTGACCTGGTGTGGAGGGTTATCCCCTTCCTAACAGTCATGTTTTTGCCAGAGGAATGTAACTGTAAGGGGTCAGGGGCCGTGTGTTTATCTTTTTATGTCCGTCACCCTCCCAAAGCAGCAGCAGAGGGCCAGGCACATAGTAGGCACTCGGCAAATGCGTGGAAGGCAGCACACCTGCCCTCCGTCTCCAGCTACAGGGAGAGCTGGCCCTCGCTGGGCCTCAGACTTGGCGTCTATGCAGGGGAGGTACAGGTGGGCCAGGTCCCCTCCTGCTGTGGATTTCCCCACCCCTTCCTCCACCACGTGCCCTCTCATCCCACAGGTGTTGGGGCCTGAGGCTTCCAGCAGACTATGGGTACAACGGCCAGCACAGCCCAGCAGACGGTTTCGGCGGGTGCCCCCCTCGAGGGCCTCCAGGGCGGTGGCCCGATGGACGGTCAGCACTCACCCAGTGCCCACTCCTTCCAGACCACAGGCTTGCACAACAGTAAAGCCAAGTCCATCATCCCCAACAAAGTGGCCCCCGTCGTGATCACGTGAGTGGCGGGGGTGGGGTGGGGGGAGAGTGGCCGTGTCCCCAGAAGACATGCCTGGAGGGGTGGTGGCATGTAACGCCTAGTCTACAGACTGCCCTCACAGATGAAGACACTGAGACCCAGAGAGGTTGCGCAGTCGGTCTGGAGTCACACGGCAAGCGAGTGGCTGGGCGGGTCTCTGTCGAGTGTCTCTTGGCTCATGTTACTTCTCCTGTCCACAGGGCTTAGAAGCATGGTGAGGGAGGAATGGCTGTGGGGGTGGGGTGGGGACACCCTTTTGAAAATCATTTGTGGCTGAACATTTTCAAAGGGAGTTGATGTACTTAGACGCATAGAGTTTAGACTTTTATTTTTCCGCAGCTCGTAATTACGGTTCAAAACTGAGGTTAATACCAGGTGGTTAAAGGGCTATGGCTTGAAAGGCTGGGAGCTGTTGGTCAACTCTCTTAATTAGGTCCTTCAGGCACAGTCCCGGAAGAGGCTGAGGGTTTGTTCCGGCGCTACATTTTGAGACCTCTGGATATACTGCATACATCCAGAGGAAGAGGGCCAAGAAGGGGGCTCTGCAACCCTGCCTGCCCTGTGGGGTCACTGAAGGAGGGGGTGCTGTGAACCAGAGGCCCGGGGGCAGAGAGGCATTGGGTCTGTCTCCTGGTGAATCGGGGAGCCTTATCTTTAATGGACTCTGCCTCTGGGCCCCTCCAGGATGCGGGAAGTAGGACATGATGAGCTGAGGGTGAATTGTGTTCCACACACAGAAGCTGGGCAGAGACCCAGCAGATGGGACTTTCTGTGTAAGGAAACCCGAGGGGTGGGAATGATAAATCCGGCCTGCTGGCTTTGGGGCCTGACAGGAAGATTGTCATAATCCATTGCTGTGCTCATGATCAGGGGAAAAGAAGAGATGTTGCATACAAGAGACTCGACGTGTATTCTCTCTATCAGAGGTGACACATCTAGGTTTGGCCCTTGAGGGGCGGTATAGGAGACACACATCCTGGGCCTTGCTCTGTGCCCTTGGGCAAAGCATGTTCCCTCTCTGGGTCTCATTTTTCCTATCAGATTATGTGGGTTTTGACGTACAGAATATTTAACCAAGTGGTATAGCTCAGGAAGGTCACGGGCCTGCTGTACAAATCTGCCACAGTGGGACTATGCATGCCTCCTGGAGCCAGCGTGAGCACAGCATCCCTTGGGTTGTAGTGTGTTTGGGTGCAAGGGACCTTAGAGATCATCCGGCACAGGGGCTGGTGAACTGTGTCCTGTGGGCCAAATCGCACCTCGCATCCGTTTTTGTGAATAAAGTTTTATTGGAACACTGCCGTTCCTATTCATTTATATACTATCTGTGGATGCTTAACACTTCAGGAGCAGAGCTGAGTTGTGGCAACAGACACTGTGTGGCTCACAAGCCAAAATTATTTACTACCCAGTTCTCGATACAGAAGGTTTGCCGGCTCCTGATCTAACACGTTTCTGATCAGATGTGAAAACTGGATCTAAATACCCCAAACCGAGCTTCTGGGGGTAGAGGATTTGCCCAGCACGCGGTGAGACGAGGCAGAGCTGGGAGCGGGATCCCCGGTCTCTTGACTTCTCGTCGAGTGCTCCCCTGCCCCAATCATTCCTCCGCCCTGCCTTTCCTAGGTGCAGTTCCTTCGTAGAGAGCAGACGCCGGGGCCCGAGTGCCGGGAGGCCGTCTCACTGTCATAATCAGCACGGAAGCGTGTTGTGTCTTGAGGGCACAGACCCGCCCTGGCTTAGCATCTGCAGAAATCTGGTTTTGTACTCCTGGGTTTTGTTTGAAATGGCCCTGTGCGGAGGTAGCAGGGCTACTAGTAAGAATTATTGTATCAATAGGCACTTACTGTGCCCAAGGCCCTTGGCTGAGCACTTCCCACACAGCAGTGCACTGAATTCTCACAGCAGCCCTAGGAGCTGAGAATTACTGGAAACGGAGCCACAGAGAGAGAGAGTGAGGAACTCCAAAGCCAAGAAATGACCGAGTGGTGGAGTTGGGTTCGTGCCCAGGTCACGGAAACCCAAAGCCAGAGTCCTGAGCCACCTCACCGCGCTGCGGGCTTGTTCTCAGAGACGGTGGGGGCGCCAAGTAACCCTCGAATTGGAGACCTTAAACAAGGCCTTTCTCTCTGCACCAGAGTCCGGGAGGTGCGCCAGGCTGGAATGGCCACTTTGTGATCAGCTAGGCTTCTCCTCTCTCGGTGCCCCGCCACCATCAGTATCTGCTTCTCACCATCTCTTCTGGACGCTAGCTGGGAGGAGAGAACGTAGAGGCACCCACCTTCCCTTTAAGGGAGTGACCCAGAAGTTGCCCTCAGAACTTCTCCTCATATCCTATTGGCCAAAACTAAATCACATGACCAGCCTAGCTGCAAGGGACGCTGGGAAATGTAGTCCTCAGCCGGATGGCCAATCACAGTTCCAGGCTTCTGTACTGGGGTTACCAGGCCGCCTCTGCCACAAACTTGTAGCTGCCTGGGCTACAGGGGTGGCCTTGTTGAGGGGTCTGGTGAGGGTGGAGGGTACCCTGATCGTCAGGGTTTTCTGACTTGGGCTCCATTCCGCCCTGGCAGGTACAACTGCAGGGAGGAGTTCCAGATCCACGACGAGCTACTCAAGGCCCATTACACGCTGGGCCGGCTCTCAGAGGCCACCCCTGAGCACTACCTGGTGCAGGTGAGGTCAGCCCTGCCCTTCCCTCCCCCGGCGGCCTTCCCCACCCCCATCCTGTCCTCCTTCCTCAT